ACCTGGTCTTTCTATAGCCCTGAGCCAGTCTCCTCTCTTTTGATTTCAGTTATCTCTAAATGAATGATTTTTAACAGATGATCTTAAAGGGCACAGCCAGCTTTGACCTTCCGATGATCTAAGAACGGAGTGGGAGGGGGGAGAAACGAAGGGGAGACAGATTGCTCTGGGTCTGGAGCCAAACAGCGGCAGGGAAGGGCTAAGGGCCTAGGAGACAGAGCATTGTGGGAAGACAGCGCAGGGCAGGGGGTGCAAGGGACGGAAGGTGAGAGCCACACAGACACCATCACACACACACAGGCATGTACACTGACAGATTTGCAGCCTCATACTGTGACACACTCCCACACACAGACCCACCCGCACGCACACACTCTGACACAGCCTACAGGAGGCAGCAGGCAGAGGCTCTGCCTCGGGGTTCACTAGCTTTCTTAACTGTACCCAGAGCCTTCTGAATCCTTTGCACTTGGGGAGAGGGCCCCATGGACCTTCTGGGGGGTGTCCTGACTCTGCTCCCGTGTAGCCGATCTGGGCCTTCTGGTTCCTGCAGATGCCATGCCCCCACCTCCCCACCGTCCCCTGAGTGCATAAAGGATTCCTCATCCTTTGGGGTAGCGGGTGGGGAAGGAAGTTGCTGCCTTCACTGCTTCTCCATCTGCCCCATGACCTGGTGGAGGCACCTGAGGCCTAGAGCTACTCCATAACTAGCTTGAGGTCACCCAGCAAAGGAAGGGGCATGAAACAAACCAACCTCCAACCTAGTTGTTTAGGGATCACACCGTACACTGGCCTGGGTGGGCTGTGGACATGGAATTCTTTCTGCCAGCCTGAGGGCTTCCTTTTCTAGAGCATCTGAAGGACAGACTGCCCTGCCTACTAGATCGCAGGCACCTCCCAGGTTGAATCCTGGGAAACTCAGGCTTGGGGAGTCAGTCCTCCCATGGAGCCCATTTCAGAGTGTCCACCCAGTCTGCAGGGCCTGGCCAGACTTCCTGGGAAAGGCCTGTACCACCTTCTGCGCACATCCCCTGACACAGGTCACTCAGGGACCTCATGTTCCCACAGGGGACTGGCTCTTGGTCCTTCCCAAACTTCTCACCAACAATACATCTGTCCCTGAGCCCCAAATCTGAGCCCCTGCCTCAACTCCTCTGTCCCTCTGCAGCCCACGTCCAGTCAGTCCCCGAGTTCTGCCAGTGGTCCTATCATTTCCCAGCCCACCCATATCTCTCTGCAAGCTGTACCCTGGTATCTCCATCTGTCACCTGAACTGTGTGGCAGGTCCCTCCTTGCTCTACCTGTCTCCCCTCACCCCAGGTCCTCTTGCACTCTGTAGTCAAAGGAAACACTCACCTTCTCTCTGGGTCCCCAGCACTCAGCTCAGGACCAGGCCTACTGAAGAATTCTGAACGTGCTATAGAATAAATGTCATCTTCCTAGCCCTTGCTTTACAATCCCAGGAGCTTCTGTCCCCTATGGAAAAAGGCTGAACTCTTTGGCATGGATTGAAGGCCCTTTCGAATCAGTCATCTACTACTTTGACGCAGCTGTGATTTACTGAAGCTTGGGTAGTGCCAGCTTTTTTTTGAGAGGTTTTTGCTATAGGGCATGTGCACTCCCCAGAAAGACAGAGAGAGACAGAGAGACAGAGAGACAGAGAGACAGAGAGACAGAGAGACAGAGAGACAGAGAGACAGAGAGACAGAGAGACAGAGAGACAGAGAGACAGAGAGACAGAGAGACAGAGAGACAGAGAGACAGAGAGACAGAGAGACAGAGAGACAGAGAGACAGAGAGACAGAGAGACAGAGAGACAGAGAGACAGAGAGACAGAGAGACAGAGAGACAGAGAGACAGAGAGACAGAGAGACAGAGAGACAGAGAGACAGAGAGACAGAGAGACAGAGAGACAGAGAGACAGAGAGACAGAGAGACAGAGAGACAGAGAGACAGAGAGACAGAGAGACAGAGAGACAGAAAGCGAGAAATCACCCCCCAGGGGGGATGGTCACGCCACAATCCCTTCTCCTCCGTTCTCCTCTCAGGATCTTGGGCACACATGTACATGTGCCTGGCATGAGTTTCAAGCTACCAAGTCTGGGATTCAAACCGTGGTCAACCATGTGGGAGTCCAGCACCATAACCATTATGCCATCTGCTGGTCCCTCGCATCAGCTTTCTCTCCATCATGAGCCCTGGGCCTAGCCCGCAGTCAGGCTCGGTAAACGCCGGCAGGATGAGTGGCTCACTGAAAAGCAGAAGGTAACTGGGGGCATCAGTGTGGCAGGCGAGGACTTCTATTTGTACAGAAGGAGGGAGAGAAGCTTCCTGCTGGGGTGGCCCAGGAAGACCGTGAGGAACTTGGCAGAGGGTGCCTGGGGACAGGAGCAGCCTGCTGCTGCAGGTCCCGGGTAGGAGAGGACCTGCCAAGGGTGCCGGGCTGCGCAGAAAGCCTTGGACAGCAGGAGAAAGGTCAAGGCTTTCCTCTATGGAGTGGGGAGCAGCAGGTGTGAACAGGAGGGAGAGGGCAGGGCCTGCAGCACTGGACAGGGAGGAGGAGAACTGAGACCTGGAAGGCTGGAGATCCCCAGGGGAGAGAAGAGAAGGAGGGACCTGCTGTGGGGTGCGGGAGTTGTGAGGGGGGAGGGGTCTGCGTGGGGGCGGGACCTCTGGGTGTGGGTGTGGGGGTGCAGAGTTCTGCTGGGAGTGATGGTGAAAGAAGAGGATCCTGCTACGAAGGGAGGGGTCCTAGTTGTGGGAAGGGAACTAAGGGCCCCTGCTGAGGCTGGCCCTGGCCCTGTCTCTGCCCAGGCCTGCAGGCCCCAGGCCCCGCCATGGGGAAGAACAACAGCAAGCTGGCCCCCGAGGTGCTGGAGGACCTGGTGCAGAACACCGAGTTCAGCGAGCAGGAGCTCAAGCAATGGTACAAGGGCTTCCTGAAGGACTGTCCCGGTGGCATCCTCAACCTGGAGGAGTTCCAGCAGCTCTACATCAAGGTGGGCACGGCCCGGGGGGCGGGGAGCCCGGGGGTGGGGTCTGGGCTGGGGTCGGGTGCCCGGCGGTCGCTGCGCCCCAACCGCCCCCTGCCCTGTGCCCCCGCCTCAGTTCTTCCCCTACGGCGACGCCTCCAAGTTTGCGCAGCACGCTTTCCGCACCTTCGACAAGAACGGCGATGGCACCATCGACTTCCGGGAGTTCATCTGCGCGCTCTCGGTCACCTCCCGCGGCAGCTTTGAGCAGAAACTCAACTGGGCCTTTGAGATGTACGACCTGGACGGCGACGGGCGCATCACGCGCCTGGAGATGCTGGAGATTATCGAGGTGCGCGGGAGAGGCTGGGTGGGCCCGGGCGGGCGCCCGTTCTCCTATGCCAGCCCCTCGGGCCTCCTCCCTGTCCCCCAGGTCTCCCCAAGCCGGCCTCCCAGGATCGGTGGCTAGGTAGGCCCAGTGCTAAGTGCTGTACCCAAGAGCCCTATGGGATGGATACTGTTGGACAGCCCATTTCACAGACAGGGAAACAGTAGAACGTGACAAATCGTGATTCTAATCCAGGGAGTCTAACTCCAGAGCTAAAGTTCTTAACCTACTGACTTTTTTAAAGAATTATTTTATTTTATTTTATTTATTCACTCATTTATTTTAATTTGACCAGAGAGAGAGAGAGAGAAAGTGAGAAAGCAAGCCACCAGGTCTGGGACTTGAGCCGTGGTTCACCATATGGGAGTGTCCAGAGCCCTAACCACCATGCCACCTGCTGGTCCCAACCTATTGATTTTTTTAACAAGTGCCTTTTGAGTGCCTAACTTGTGCCAGACACTGTTCAAAGTTTCTGCTTCCGTGGGACCTTCTTTCCAGGGAGACATTTTTAATAAATAAGTAAATAAATAACCCTATGTCATCCCAGGCAGTAAATGGTATGAGCAAGGTGAAGCGAATAGCGAAGTAAGGGGTGATCTTACAGGGAGGGAGTTAGCCCTGATGTCTGCAGGGAGGGCTTTTCATGCGGAGAGAACACTAAACACGGGTGTTATTGTGTCTGCGGTGTTCAAGGAGTGACCAGGAGGCCACAGTGGTAGGAGGGAAGCGAGCGAGGGGACGAGTGACAGGAAGGTGGTCAGATAGGTACACAGGAGCCCAGTCCCTCAGGTCGTGTTTTAGAGAGATTTTTGCTGTAGGACACATGCGCTCGCCAGAGAGACAGAGAGACAGAGAGACAGAAAGTGAGAAATCACCCCCCGGGGGATAGCCATACCACAGTCCCTTCTCCTCCATTCTGATTGACGGATGTTGGGGCACACACGCACACAGGCCCAGTGTGCATTTAAGCCACCCAGTCCAGGACTCGAACCGTGATTGACTACATGGGAGTCCAGCGACATAGCCATTATGCCAACTGCTGGTCTCTCTCCTCTCAGGATTTTGGGCTTGCTTGCACTTGTGCCCAGCATGAGTTTTAAGCCACTGGGTCCAGGACTTGAACCATGGTTGACTACATGGGAGTCCAGCGACATAACCATGACGCCATCTGCTGGTCCCTAGAGACTTTGATTTTATTTTCAGTGCGGTGGGAAACCGTTAGAGGGCTCCGTCACGTGGAGAGTGGACTGTGGGGGTAAGGAAGGGCAGCAGAAGTAGGGAGACCAGTTTGGACTTCCATAGTGATCTAGTCAAGAGCTGACGGGGGCACCAATCATGGAGGAGCAGGGCAAGTGATAGTGGTTGGACGTGGATTGCATTGCAAGATCAGGAACCATGAGGACCGTAAAGGGATGGAAGTGGAATGTGACAAGGAGGAGAGTCAAGGGCGGCCTCAGGATTTAGGGTCTGAACAACTGGCAGAATGAAGTTGCTCCCTATAGAGATGGGATGCCAGGAGAGGAGCGGGGGTGGGGGTGAAGACATGGGACTTAGACATGTTCAGTTTGAGATGCTCTTCAACTCTCCAGTCTAATGACCACTTACCACCTTTCAGTGTCCTCACCCCCCCCCCAGTATCCTCCCTGCCCACCACCAGATCCCTCTCACTCATGCCCAGTCCTCCCTCTGTGGTCATCCACACTGCCCTCGCCCCCAGGCTATCTACAAGATGGTGGGCACCGTGATCATGATGCGCATGAACCAGGATGGGCTCACACCCCAGCAGCGTGTGGACAAGATCTTCAAGAAGATGGACCAGGACAAGGACGACCAGATTACGCTGGAGGAGTTCAAGGAGGCGGCCAAGAGTGACCCATCCATTGTGTTGCTGCTGCAGCACCCCTCCCCCCCTTTCAGTGCCCCCCCCCCCCCCCCAGTATCCTCCCTGCCCACCACCAGATCCCTCTCACTCATGCCCAGTCCTCCCTCTGTGGTCATCCACACTGCCCTCGCCCCCAGGCTATCTACAAGATGGTGGGCACCGTGATCATGATGCGCATGAACCAGGATGGGCTCACACCCCAGCAGCGTGTGGACAAGATCTTCAAGAAGATGGACCAGGACAAGGACGACCAGATTACGCTGGAGGAGTTCAAGGAGGCGGCCAAGAGTGACCCATCCATTGTGTTGCTGCTGCAGTGTGACATGCAGAAATAGGGCTGGTGAGGGGCAGGGTCCCTGGCCAGGAGGGAGCATGGCTACCTTCCTACCGGATGACCTCTCTGGCTGGCCCTACCCCAGGGAGAGGAGCACTCCAGCATCACTTTCTGGCCTACCCACTCTTCTATCAAGCCTCTTCTCCCCTCAACCAAGATCCTTGAGGGACCACCTCACCTTGCAAAAAAGATAGGTCCTCGGGCATCCTGTCGTCTAGCTCCACCCCCAGCCTTTGCCCAGAACCAAAATTCTTTGGGCATAGGGGAGTTGGCTTTTGCCCCAAGAGGCAGGGTTATAGATGGTGGCTGGGGTCCCACATTGAGTTTCTGCTGGGGTTATGCTTTCTAGAATGTGATCCCTCCAGTCTCAGTCAAAGGGCCAAATTGGGTCATTCTCCTGAGAATGCAGATCCCTTCAAGGCAGTCACTGCCCTGCCCCTTCAACTCTACCTGGCCCCTCTGGCCCCCACCTTGGAGCATGTATTCAGTCCTTTCTTCAGCCAATGTTTATTGAGCATTTGTTCAATGCCAGGCACCTTTAGGGGCTGAGAATATGGTAGTTTACAAGACACCTTCATGCTGTCTGGAAGTCAGGGTAGTGAGGCAAACTTCCAGTGGTGGGGATCTCAGACGGGGATGCCGAGCGCAGCAGAGGGGGCTGCAGGCTGGCTCCTCTGAGAGGAGCCGGTCCGTCTTCCAGCTCAGCTCCTCACGAGACTGCAGAAGTTGGAGATGGAAGGCATTTGGAAGTTTAGGAGCCATGTGAGCAGAAGTTTTGAGAAAAATGGAAATTTACATTTTTTTAGCATCTTTTAAAAGAGCTAAAGTCACTTTATTAGTGTAAGATGTTAAAATAGACTCTATATTACTTGGTTTCTTATAAAATGATTGCATATTAAAGATGTCACTTTTCAGGGAGAAAAAAAATACTAGAAAAAGAGGGGAGATAGCACCAAGCTGCCCAGGTAACACTCCCTGTCAGGCTAATCCTGAGCTGCCCCCGTCAGCAGCCTCACTGCCTCTACGGCCCCTTGTTACCATTATCAGCCCAACAAGCACCTCTCAATTGCTCACTTACTCCGGTTGGGTGCTGACTTCAGACGCAGAGAAAATAAGGTTTGGCCAAGCGAGACACGCGTGTAGCCCAAATCTCGGGAGTTTGTGCATGCGGTTTCGTTTCAGGAATAGGCTTGCACTTTGCTGCGGAAGCAGAAGGAGCTAGAAGAAAAGGACTACTTGGTCCCTGTTTAGACTCTCAGGGTATGCCGACGGACCAAATGCTTAAAACTGTGCCGGCACGCTTCATTTGAGAGGCTTTTTCTAACCCTGAATCCTAGATCTGCCAGGTGATTCATCTTCCAAGTGTGCTAGCTTTGCTTTCCCGTTTTGGATCCGTGAGCTATACAGCTGCATGCTTTGACTGCCGGAAAAATGCTTCTTCATCAGTAAAGTCTTTCACTTTGCTTTCTCATGTGCTTGTGATTAGAAGTTAGCTTTGCTGTGCAGTGACAGTTGATTTCCTCTTGAACTGCTGGTGAAAACTGTCTGTACACAGGTGCCGCTAGCCCTGGGTGGGAGTTGGGAGTGGTTTCCGAGCATGGGTGTAGGGTGGCAGGGATGGCCTCTGTGGGAGAGATGCAACCTGCCTCACTTAGTTCTCACCTATCCTGCCGCTCTGCTGGTGGAAGCTCTCAGGAATGTTGACCTTTGGTCCCAAACTCTATCCCACTTTCCCTTCTTGCTGCCCTTTGAGGTATAAGGCCAGAGGATTGCCGTCCCCTTTCTACCCTTCCGCTAATAACCAGCCACGTGGCGAGGCTAGGAGGTTCATGTCCTCAGGCAGCCTCTAGCAGGCATTTATTCAGTAATGCCTCCGGGATGTTCTGTTGCTCTCGGGAGCTGGCTGTTAGGTGTGTCTGAAGTCTGCACCACAGACGCGTAGATGCTCAACAGCCTGGCTCTGCTGGGACCTGAGTCTTCTAGTGGAAGGCTCTTCACTGAGATTCTTCTCCCCTAAACATGAATCCAGCCTAACACATCACACAGAGTATCATCGCTTTCAAAGGCTTGCCATCTACCCCGTCTCATTCTGTCCTCGCAGCCCAGAGAGGCAGGGCTTTTTGATCCCTTTCTTAAGATGTGGAAGCTGCGGTTCAGAGATGGGAGCCCCCTAGGTGAGAGCACGTAGTCAGGAGGTGACAAGACTTGAACCCAAGGCTCTAAGGCAATTTCTTCTTTTCAGAGTCTTTCCTGCTCATTTCTGTGACTGAGTTGTACAGAGGTTGACTAAGTTGGTTTTTGTCTTTTTAAACTTTCTGCTAAAAAGTTTCTTTTTTTTTTTTCCCCAAAAGAAACAGGAGCTTGGTTGAAGTGCCCACATTTTTAGGCCTCCTGTTCCCTCTTTCTGGTAGCTCTGCTAATGGGCCAATGCCGTCCTGAGGAGCTTCTGACTCAGAACCCTGGAAGCATCTCGCATTGTCTTCCTCCCTAAGAGAACAATTTTGTTCCAAGCTGGTGGGCGAGTCCTGCCCATGAGGACTTGTCTAATCACCGCAGGCTTTGAATACATACTCATGGGTGATATTTGCTGGTCAGGCCGAGGATTCTCAGACACATAATGCCAGGCCAGAAACTGGGACCACTATTTTACAATAGAGGAGCCACAGGTGGACCAGGTCATATTCCCACGGGCTCTTGGGCGTCCCAGAGACGGTGTGCTCAGGAGCCTCTGTGGGAGAGCAGCAGCCCTGCTTTGAGAAGAGAGGCAGATCCTCCATCACCGTCCCAGGGACTTGCTACAGAGCACAAGGTTAGCAGAGATGTATGTATGACTCACACAGACACAAAAACATTCAGGCAGTTAAAACATTGATGTATCCAACCCTCTTTTGGAATTCTGTACCTCCTTGCAGCCCCTCTGTGCACTGCAGGATCTTAGACTCTGACTTCTCATATATTCTGTTCTTACTCGTCCTTTTGGGCTAATTGATGAGCCCCTATTTCTATATCTTTAAAAATGATCAACAAGGGCTTCTTCAGATGGACACGCCAGTCCTTCGAGCCGTAGTCAGGATTATTAAATTTACCTTTAAATCAAAAGTTATGAAAAAAAAAGAAAAAAAAAAAGACTGTAAGCCAAGGCACAAAATCCTCTTTCCTGAAAAGGGCAGAATCCCAGCGCATCCTGCTGTGGGGTGGAGGTGGGGTATGTGAGGTCGGATGGTTAGAAGAAAAGAAAGAGAGAGAATAGAAGACGCTGGGGTTTGTAGGCAGGAGAGTAAGCTAACACTGTAAATATTTTTACACAAAAATGTATTAAAGCAACAAATATTTCCTGGGGATCCACCCAGGGTGAGGCTTTGTGCTGTCTTTAGAGATCACCATGGGGCAGGAATCCATTTCTTACATACCTTATTCGTCATCCTTGAAAAAAGAAAGTGTTCAAATTCTGAAGTGAATAAGTCTCAAGAAAAGTGTGAGATTTTCTTTCTGAAAATGTTAGGGTTTTTTTAGTGTTGTTTTATATCTTTGTTAAAATATGGGGCAGAACTGGGCCGCCCGGGGTGAATGGCTTTCCTGCGTGGCGGAGGCTGGTCACGCCAGGGCCTCCTAGGCAGCAGGGTGAGGCAGGGACTGGGTGGCAGAGGGGAGCCCAGTTCACCACAGGTTCTCCAGTGTAGCCTCCTGTGCCCTCCAGTTGTGTGACTTCTGGCTGTGCCCACAGGGATGTCCTCACTGTCCCACCCTGCGCTGCTGCGCTGTATGGTGTTGTTTTTCTCCCCCACTAACAATGAATAAAGGGTGTGACTGTGCAGAGGCTCCTGCTCGTCCCTAAGCTGCGGTAGGGCAGGGGTGAGGAGAAAGGGGGCGGCGCCTCAGAAACCTCCTTGGGCCCAAGTCCTTGTTCCAGTGAGGACTCTGATTAGGGGGCACAGCAACCCATTTGAGCTAGTTCAAAGAAAGGGACTGCATGTTACAAAGGATTTTAGAGATGTCCAATTAAGAATGGCTGGACCTGGGGCCAGCCGGTGGCATGACGGTTAAGGTGGCTGGATCCCACACGATCAATTGTGCAGTTCGAGTCCCAAATCCAGTGACTTGAAAAACACATGCCGGGGACCAGCAGATGGCATAATGGTTATGTTGCTGGACTCCCATGTAGTCCACTGTGGTTCAAGTCCCAGACCCGGTGGCTTAAAACTCAGGCCGGCCACATATGTATGCATGCCCAAAATCCTGAGAGGAGAATGGAGAAGAGATTGCAGTGTTGCCATCCCCTTTGAGGAGTGATTTCTTGTTTTCTATTTCTCTGTCTCTCCAGTGAGCACATGTGCCCTATAGCAAAAATCTCAAAAACAAAAACACCCCAGGTGTGAGTGCGTGCATGCCCAAATCCTGAGAGGAGAGTGGAGGGGAAGGGATTGTGGGGTGGCCATTCCCCTAGGGGGTGTTTCTCACTTTCTCTCTCACTCTCTCTGTCTCTCTCTCCAATGAGACAAATTAAACATCTGGAACTGGCACTGGACCTCTCCATTCTCACCTCTGCCTCGCGGGCTCTCGTCCCCTGGGCTAGGCCTGCGTCTGTGCTTCCCTCCAGACTTCGGTTTCCCTGCAGAGTGCCTCAGCTCCACCAGTGACTGCTCCCGTCTGGGTCTCTTTGTTTCAGTTCTCGAGCAGAAAGGTCTGACTGGTTCAGCTTAGCTTTTGGCGGGACCCTGTAACTTAGGTGCCCTCTTTTGACCCAATCTGAGGCCAGACCGGATACTTATGCAGGGCCAGGAGCTGAACATTTCCCCTGGCAGGAAGCCAGGGGAGGCAACAGGATTCGGGCTTAGTTTCTCCTGCCCAGTGGAAGACATCGTGAGGGCCCAAGCGAGTGGAGGTGGCCAGTGGGGAGAAAGGCCAAGAGCCAGGGCTACAGCTGGCCCCATGGGGTGTCCTTTGTACAGTAAAGAAAGGCACCCCTCGGAGTGGAAGCAGCCCCATAAGTTTGCAGGTGGTGGGGGGCACCTTTGAGCTAGTTAAAAATATATACACAGACTAATACAGTCATGCCAGAGAGCCAGCTTAAAGTGACACACCAGGTGGATTTCGGCCCCACCTGCCCTGTTGCTCAGGGTCGCTGCACAGGGCACAAGTGTTCCACCATCCACAGGAGCCCAGCCTGGGGCCTGAGACCTCCCCCTGGCCTAGAGGGGTTCGGGGTGGGTGTTGGTAGTGAAGTGCTCCTCTTGGATCACCTCCAACAGTCAGGGAGACGCTGTGCCCTGCAGCGAGTTGGGGGCAGTGGCAGCTGAAGGTGCCTCCTCCCTCCTGAAACGCTTAGTTGCTTTCACAAGGGTTTCTTGAAGGACGTGCTTCGAGGGGGCCAGCTCCGTGGGCAGGAAGCAATTAGGACAGAGGAAAGAGGCTGACCTAGCCTCAGGACAGCCATGAACTTAAGGAGGTGACTCAGAAGCCCGAGAACCTGGGGCTACTATTCCCAGCTGAAGCCAAGCAGGGGGAATGGAAAGTCCTGTCCTGCCTGCCGTGGGGTGCACAGGCCTGGGTTGGCTTCTCCCCAGATCTCCCCCTCAGGCCCTTGTAGTCTCTAGCCCAGCCAGGTTAGCCCACCTCCCCCCTCAGTCTTGCCCTCCGCACCATCCAACTGCCACCAAGGAGCCAGAGTGAGCTTCCTGATGACCTGCCTGCCCACGTCAGCTCTGCGAAGCCTCCCCGTCCCTTTGGCGTGACATGCTCCTTAAATGTCCCCCATGAACCTGCATGATCTGGCACCAGTTGGCCTCAAAAGCCTTGTTCTTGGGTCAGCAGATGGCGTAGAGGTTATATTACTGGACTCCCACATGGGCGACCACGGTTCGAGTCCCGGACTAGGTGGCTTGCGTGTGCATGCCCAGGATCCCGGGAGGAGAATGGAGGAGAGGGGATTGTGATGCGGCCCTCCCCCCAGGGGACTGATTTCTCACTTTCCCTCTCATAGTCTCTGTCTCTTGCTCTGGGGAGCGCACGTGCCCTAAGGCAAAAACTTCTAAAAAAAAACAAAAAAAAAGCCTTGCTCTTCCCCTCTCTTCCCTCTCGTGCCTCCTGATCTTGAACCACCCTGAAATGCTGATTTTTCTGAGGGCTCTGTTATGCTTCTCTGCTTGTGCATATGCCATTGGATCACCCATTTCTCTGTTTCAACAATCTCCTCTATGAAGCCCTCCTAACCCTCAAATTGGCCCCTCACGTGTCCATAGTCCAATTCAGTGAACAAACACTCCTCATGACCCCCAGCCAGCTGCCGTGAGCACATATTTAAGCGTCTCTCTCTAAGACAGGAAGACTCAGAGAAAGGCAAACCCGGGACTTCTCTCAGGTCTCCTCACATCAAGGCCACTGGGCTTTCTCAGCCCTGAGAGCACAGTCAAGTCAGCAAAGCACGAACTCTGCTCCTCAGGAAAGGAGGGTGGTAGGTAAAGGGCAAAGGGGAGAGGTGGCTTCATGGAGACCTGGCATCCGAATACCAGCCAGCAGGGCCAGGCATGCAGAGCAGAGCTGGCCAGGGAAGCAGTGCAGGTGTGGGGATCCCAGAGCCATGCCGTTCCCTGCATACGCCTCTGAGAAGTGCTGGCCCAGAGAGGCAGTGCCGCCTGGAGTCTAGGAGTGCCAAGCTAGGAAGCCCTGCACCCAGCCAGCTGCCAGGGAAGGAGGAGCCAGCCAGAGATGACAGCAGAAGCCTGGAAGGGTGCGAAGAACAGATGCGGACAGCTCTCTACACTGTCCAAGGAGGAATCTGTGGAGAGCTCTTCAAGGAACTGAACTAGGAGTCTGGGCTGGATCCTTGACGGTGGGGAACAGAGGCCTACTCGTGGATTAGTCAGGACTTCAGGCTGTACGTGAACAAAACCCAACCAACCAAGCTTCTGCAAAAAGGGAGGCTTACTGGCTCATGCAGTTGGAAAGTTCAGGCAGTCCTGGACCCAAAGGCTCAAGGCTGCACCCTCCCTCCCTGCTTCTGCTCTCTCTCTGTGACCCCATTGGCCTTCCAGGTGAGCTAGTTCACGGTCTTTCACGTGCCACGGTGAAAGACGGGTTCCTAGCTCGCGTCGTCACAAAAGAACAACTCCTAGCATCCCTGTGTAAGAGTTCTGGAGAGCAGCCAGCTGGGGTCACATGCTCACCCCTGATTCTGCCACTGTATCTATGGGGACAGGGCTCTGCAGTGGGCCACATACCTACTCCTTGACCGGGGAATCAGGGAAACAGGGCTTGTTATTCGAAGGTGGGGAAGGTGGCCAGGCAAGCAAAATCAGTAGCCTCCAGCTTTCCTCTTCGAAGCCATGTGGAGAACCTCATGGGTATTTAGGGGTGGGCACCATAGCCAAGCCTCAGCTGAGACTTGGGAAACGTCAGCACCAGAGGCAGCTCCCTCTCGGGGCCGTACAGCTTCTGTCTTGGGATCCCTGCTGCCTCTGCACACCTTTCCCCATCTCCACCTGCTGATCAGCTTGTGTGTGTACACGTTTGAGAGATTTTTGCTATAGGGCACGTGTCCTTGTTAGAGAGACGGAGTGACAGAAAGTGAGAAACCACCCCCCTGGGGGATGGTCATGCTGCAATCCCTGCTCCTCTACTCTCCTCTCGGGATGCACATGCTCCCACTGGGAGTTTCAAGCCACTGGATCTGGGACTCGAACAACGGTCGGCCACATGGGTGTCCAGTGCCTTAGCCACTCTGCCACCTGTTGGCCCCTAATCTGCTCATTCTGCTCAGGAGAGCTGCTTCTCCTCTCTGCTGTACCTTGCATGTAACTGAGCCAGCCAAGGCTCATCGCGGTATCTTGGAAACCTGGCAGTTCACACCCTCAGCTACTGGTCCTGACATTGACCAAACAGCCCCTGGCTCGCACTCCCAAATTCCACAAAGACAGGAGTCGGATTGGACCAGATCATCTTTTCAAGCCGGCTGTACAAGTCAGGGTCACTGGACACCCTGGGAATATCACCTCAATCCAAATAACCACGCTACACCTTCTCCCTAAATGACCTTGCCCTCTCCTGCATGAGTATTTTAGGCTGTTCCATTGCTAATAACAGAAGATACCTGAGTCTGGGTCACTTAAGAAACTAGGCTTTATTCAGCTTGTAGAGATCTAGAAGTCCAAGGTCCAGGGGCCACATCTGGTGGGGGTCCTGTCCCCGAGAATCCCGAAGCTCCGCACCTGAGAGCAGAACAGAGCAGCTGTGTCCATGTGTGTCTCTGTCTCATTCCTCTACGTGTAAACTCACCAGGTCATCAGTCAAGAGGTCCCCACCTTAGTTCTAATCTCTTCCCAAAGGCCCCATAATTGGATCAAGTTTTCTTAATGGCTCACCATATGACATGGGGGGGGGTGGCATCTCCCAACTACAGCAATGAGGTAGCTGAGCATAACGGATCCCTTTCTAGGGTTTCAATGATTTATTATTGTGTGACAGGCCACCTCAAAACTTCGTGCAGTTGGCTGTGTCCACTCCCACAGCCGCATTCCCCGGGGAACTAGGCTGGGTTTGGAACAGCCGAGACGGCCTCACTTCCATGTCGGGCACTGGTGCTGACGGTCACCTGGGAAGCTCGGTTCTCCCTGGCTTCTTACCCTCCAGGGAGGGCCTCTCTGCCTCACCATGTAGCCTGTCCAGCAGGGCAGTCCACACCTCGGTACCTAATATCTGGCCCCAAGAGCATAAAGGTGGAATCCCAAGGCCTCTTCAGGCTTAGCTTGGAAACCAAATAGCTTCACTTCTGCTGCATTCTATTAGCCAAAGCAAGGCCCAGAGCCCGCTGAGACTTGACTCCGGTCAGTGTGGGAGGAGTGTCAAAGTGGCATTGCCCAAAGGCAGGCAGGATGGGAGCGGTTTTGGAGTCAACTCTGGAAACAATCTACTAAGCCTGGAGAAGGGCAAGTCTAAACATACTCCCCTCCCATCCTAATGTTTCTATTACTGTCACTTCTCCCTTCTCCCACACAAGGTTCTGGTGGTCCTTGCGGTACATGGTGGAGGCTGACCTCTCCATTCCCTACTGCCTCCCAGTAGAGGCCTTCCTGGCTAAGCCGATCCTTTCCCTCCTGCTCCACCCACCCGTACACCTCTGAGCTAGCTCCTTGTCTGCTTCTTGGCCTGCGCTTTGTACATTTGTGTCTGTGCCCTGAGGATAGTGCAGGACTCTGCACCAAGAGGGACAATGCCCCGGAATTCCAGGATGGTAGTCAAAGATTCTTTGGTTCCCAGGCCCCTCTTCTACCCTCCCCTCCTCCCGCCCCTTCTAGCAAGTCCCTAACCTCCCGGAGCTGGGCAGGTGGAACTTGGGGATGTGCGCCCCCTGCTGGCCTTCAAGGAGACAGTCAGGATCCGGGATCAGAGTGCCAGGGAGTCTCTCCTGTCTGGGGTGGGGGCTCCCGCCCGGGGGAAACTAGTCTCCAGACTTCAAGAGCTCGTTTTCCCTGGCGTGGAAGAGCTGCCTGGCCGCGCACACCACTGAGCTCCCCTCCCGGGCGGGCTCCTGCTCCTGGACGGGGCTGTCCGTGCATCACCTCTTCCTCACTCACAAGATGGACCCGGGGTCCAGGCCTCCGAGGAGAAAGTGGGGCAGTTAGCTTTTTTGGAAGGAGGGAGGGGTGCAACTAACCTCTCATTTTCACCTTTGGGGATCACCTGGGGAAAAAAGTTGACAAGCATCCTCTCCCTGGGTGCCCTTGAGCCCTTGCGAATCCGAATCTCGAAATCACCTGCGGTCTCTAATCCGCAGCTGCCAGCCCGGCCTCAGGCCCCCCACCCCCCAAGAAACGCAGAGGCGACCGCCCATCCCGTTTGTTTCGGGTATGGGTCGGTAGGGGGAGGAGAGCTAAGCTGGCCCCGAGTACCCGCACGAGAGCAGCAG